TTAAGTGTCAAGCAGGATCTGTTTAATGGTGGCCACATGTCAGCCTTTTATGCAGGTCTTCCAGCAAGGGACACTCCCATAGAGACATTTTTACATTATCCAATCATATGCATTTATAGTATAAAAACACTCCCACACAAACAGTGCAACTCTTCCTCTCTATCTTGGAGATAATTGGGTTAAGAGCCATGAAGTAACTCAATTATCTCCAGGTATAGAGAATATCCCCCATTTTACAATAACAATAAAACACATAAAAATACATGTCTTATTTTACCGAACTGAACCCCCACGTTCGACATATCCCTAGATAGCATGGATCTGAGCGCTCAATATAATCGAACAGCGCTCAGATACCACACATACAGTCAAATCGCCATGGAGCTGAAAGTGTGTTCATTGTGCGTTCGGCATAAGCTCCATGGTTTTAGCTACCTGGGACAGTTCCGTTCGTGGATTGTCAATATATTAACTGTAACGAAAAGAGGGATTCTTGGTGATCTTAGCGGTGTTCGTGGGAAACAATGTCTGAAATTAGTTCCATGTAATGCAGAAACGAGATGGGCCAAATCACTCCCCAATAAGACATCAGCCGGTAACTCCTTCATGATGCCAACATTCACTTGTCCCAAACCAACTCCCGAATCCAGGTGAATGCAGGCAGTGGGCAAACAGTAGATGGCTCCTCCAGCTACTCTAACTGCTACAGTGTGCCTGTGTGCTCGCTCTCTGGAATCAAATTGCACTGTAGCAGGGTCAGATTAGCTCTGGTGTCTCTTAGCCCACTGGCTGCTTTCCCATTAACAAGGACAATCTGTCTGTGTTGCTGCCGATTATCCTGGGGAGCTGCATGGACAGGGTCAGCCTCATGTAAAAGCCCCCAGTGCTCTTCTGCTGTGTTCCCCACTTTGATGCAGTGGGCAGCAGGCATTGGTGCATGAGGGTTCCCTCCACCCTGCTTCCTCCAGGACTGGGACTGCCAGGAAGGATCCAAGGGACAATCCTGCCGAATGTGCCCAACTCGGTCACATCAAAAGCATTTGCGTGGCTGGTTATTGGTGTTCTGAGTATACAGGGGGGGACCTCGGTAAGCAGTTAGTGGAGGAGGTGCCACTGGTCGGTATTCCGGTCATGGAGATGCCTTGACCACAGAGGTGTCTGGCTTGCGGGCGTCGATGTACTCATCCTCCAGACGAGCTGCTTCAGGCAGGGTGAGAGATCTCCTGTCTCTTATCTACTCTGGGATCCCAGGACCCAGCGCGTCGTAAAAATACTCCAACAGGAACAACTGCAGCACCTCTTCCTCTGATACAGCCCGGCATCCATTGACCCAGTGGGATGCAGCGTGATGTAAGCAGCATGCCCACTCTGTATAAGAGTCACAATTTAGTTTTTTAGAGTCCCGAAATCGCCTCCAGTATGCCTCAGGAGTCACAGCATACCTGGCCAATGACGCTTCCTTCACCAGCCCATAATCCTCAATATCCAGAAGGACAGCTACAGGAGACACCATTTCTTTGGATTTACAAGTTAAGGGCAACGCATGTCCTAGTACAGCGACCCTGACAGCACCAGGATGGAACCAGCAGTGGAGTACAGCTACTCTATGAGAGAGTATGACCGGATGGTGTGGTTTCACCTAAGCTTCTTCGGATCCAACCCACTGGAGAGATCGAGGAACCTAGTGTTCGAGAGGCTGCAACAACGGGCAGAAAGAGAAGGTCAGTTGGCACGTTGGGAGAAACTCCAGCGGCAGATACAGCAGGGAATTGGGAGCCCAGTCTCCATTCCCCAGCGGCAGTGTAAAGTGCAGGGAGAGGAGAGCAGTGTCCTCCCTCCCCAGCGGCAGGCTCCTCCCTCCCCAGAGGCTGAGTTACAGGGGGCAGAGGTAGTTGTTCCTGCCCTCCAGCAGCAGAGTGATATGCCGGGAAGGCAGTGTAAAGTGCAGGGAGAGGAGAGCAGCGTCCTCCCTCCCCAGCGGCAGGCTGAGTTACAGGGGGCAGAGGTAGTTGTTCCTGCCCCCCAGCAGCAGAGTGATATGCCGGGAAGGCAGTGTGAAGTACAGGGAGAGGAGAGCAGTGTCCTCCCTCCCCAGCGGCAGCGTGATTTTTTGGGAATTGGGAGCCCAGTCTCCATTCCCCAGCGGCAGTGTGATGTGCCGGGAATTGGGAGCCCAGTCTCCATTCCCCAGCGGCAGTGTGATGTGCCGGGAATAGGGAGCCCAGTCTCCATTCCCCAGCGGCAGTGTTATTGGTTGGGAATTGGGAGCCCAGTCTCCAGTCCCCAGCGGCAGAGTATCCAGCAGGGAATAGAGAGCCCAGTCTCCCCTTCCCAGCAGCAGGACACTGTATTGGGAGCGGAGACAGTCGGTCTCCCTCCACAGAGGATGAAAGTATGTATGGGAGAGGAGCTTGCTACCACCTCTCCCCAGCGGCGGATCATTAATGGGCAGGGAATAGAGAGCTCAGTCTCCTTTCCCCAGCGGCAGAGTGTTCTATCGGGAGAGGAGCCTGTTACCCCCTCTCCCCAGCGACAGCTTAGAGTATCCAAAGGGGAGACAGTCGGTCTCCCCCTCCAGCAGCAGAGCTGTGTAACCAAATGGGAGACAGTCGGTCTCCAGCAGCAGGACTGTGTATTTAAAGGGGAGACAGTCGGTCTCCCCCTCCAACAACCAGGCTTCAACCAGGCTACCCTCCCAGTTGCGCTGGCAACAGGGCACCCCACCAAGTCAGCACCCCACCAAGTCAGCGTACCCGTACCCAGCACAGCCGTGGTGAGGCACCTGGACATGGACAAGCTTCTCCTCTACCCAGGTGCAGTAACTATTTATTGTGGGTGGGCTGTGCTGTTGATTATGTTTTGTGGGTGGGCTGCTGGACTAACAAGGGCACTGACCGGCAGGAGGTCAGATACCCTGTTAGTCTGTTTGGAAAAGGGGAGAGATGTGACGAGACCAATCTCGCCACATTGCATTGGAGAAGCCTGGTTGCTCGCCTGCTGCCTTTGGACTATGGCCCCCTGTTAAAAGACATCTTTTTTACCTGCAGAAAAGCTTCATTCGTGCTTTTCTGCCTGGGGTTCGGTAGATTTGTTTGAATGTGTTATACCCCAGATAGGAATCCCATGGAGCCTATTCGTATGAAACTGACTGTAAAGACTTTGGCTTCATGGCGATTAAACTGTATTCGTGTGGTCTGAGCGCCATTCACTTAATAATGTGCGCTCAGACCTGAGCTATCTGGGGATATGTTAAATGTATAGTTTTAATGTAATGTGTCTTACCTGGTGTATTTTAACAGTAATGCTTGTTTTGTGTCCCCATGTGCATAATGGAGTCTTGTCTCTGACATGTCTGTGTTTTATGTATAAAATGGGACTTTGTGTATTGTACAGTATTTTAATGCTTTGTGCTAACCATGTGCATAATGGAGTCTTGTCTCTGTCCTGGGAGATAATTTAATTACTTCTCAATTATCTCCTGGGCAGAGGAGAGGAAGCCAGGATGCATTGTGGTAAAAAGTATATGTAATTGGGTTGGTTACCTCTCAGGATAAGGGGATGGAATCTGTGGGTTGTAACTAATATGTTACTGGATATTTTATACCTCCCTGTGGGCGGTCCTGTATTTGCAAGACTGTAATAAAAACCAGGCTGGGTGTGCCAGCACCTCAGACCACTGCTTGACCCTCAACACGGAGCTCTGTCTCGTCTTTGGGGGGATTTACTGCTAAGGACTTATTGCCAGGAGTGTAAGCCGCTTGGGAGCTTTTCCTGTTCGTCTGTTAGCAGCTATTCGTGAGGTTCCAGTTCGAGTGTTTGGAGCATTCCCTTGTATGCAGTTCGGGAGTTTGGTGTATTCACTTGTATTCAATTCGTGAGTTTTGGGTGATTCTACAGTAGCTGTGCCTCTCTCTGAAAGGGGATTATCGTCTAAGCGGTTTTAACCCCTTTTGTGCAAAACGGTCCGTTACACCAATCATATGCATTTACAGTATAAAAACACTCCCACACAAACAGTGCAACTCTTCCTCTCTATCTTGGAGATAATTGGGTTAAGAGCCATGAAGTAACTCAATTATCTCCAGGTATAGAGAATATCCCCCATTTTACAATAACAATAAAACACATAAAAATACATAAGTCTTATTTTACCAAATGGAACCCCCACATTTGACATTCAACCCCAGATTGCCTAGATATGAGCACTCAATATAACCGAACAGTACTTAGATCCCATATATACAGTCAAATTGCCATTGAGCTGAAAGTGTGTTCATTGTGTGTTCGGCAGAAAGCATAAGCTTCATGGGTTTAGTTATCTGGGACAGTTCCATTCATGGATTATCAATATAGCGAACGGCACGGCGTTCATATGAACTGGAACGAAGAGAGGGATGGTTGGTGATCTGAGCGGTGTTCGTGGGAAACAGTGTCCGAAATTAGTTCCATGTAGTTGTTGACGAACACCGCTGGGCGTTCGACTGTCCAAGATTGCCGCCGCCACGTGTTCGTTCATACAAATGACAACCACCAAACTGACCGTTCGGGAGTTGGAAGTGGCTGCGGTTAACCACAATTTAATAAGGTCAAAAAGGTTAATGAGCGGCACACTTCCCTGCTGGGTGGCCCGCCATTCGCTAGTTCGTTCGTCTTTTAGGGAATGCAACCAGGGAACACAAGAACACCGGGAACTGGTGAACAAACAGACTAAATAGTCTCCAAAAACAATCCAGAGGCAGAGAGGTCAGTAAGAAAATCTCTGGAAGAACTGCACAATGAAGGGTTTCCAAAATCATTTAAAATGGACGTTGCTGTACATCAGATATGTTTATTCGTAACTGTCCCAATGGGGAAAAAGTTGAACGAAAGTGGCTTTGTTATTTAAATAACAGAGGCCGAATATACTGTTTTGACTGCAAATTATTTAATTAATCAACAAATGCATTTTCCAATGATAGCTTCAGCAACAAAAGCTTGACGAAAACGGCCTCTCTGTGTCCATGCCAAAAATGCTAAGTGACACACGCTGGTCATGTCGTGCAGATGCTTGTCAAACATTAGTCCATGGCTATGAAAATAAAATGAAAATTTTATTTGCATTTTCAACTGACATTGAAGAAAAATCTAAAACCGCAAAAGGACTATTTGATCAGATGAGCAAACTTGAGACATGGATTTTTGCAGAATTCTGGAACACTGTTTTGCAGCATTTCAACAGCAACAGCAAAACTCTGCAGTCTGTTCAGCTGAACTTAAATGCTGCAGTTGGTGTTTTGAAATCGTTAAAAGATTTTATTAATGAACAGCGTACTAAATGTGAAGAAGCTGGCAATCGTCTAACAGATACTGAAGAATATATTGTGGAACATCGCCATCTTCAATGCCTGTCAGCAGCCACTTGACTATGGACACAGTGAAGAAGCATAATTAATGCCAAAGGAGTTCCTTTATGCTAAGGCCTTTCTCTCATGTGTTGACAAACTTTTCATGTGTCTGGAATTGTGCCTAGAACCTACAGTGAAGTGTGTGATATATTTAGTTTCTTTATAAACTTTCCATCAATGGACTCTGAATCCATTAAAATTGCAGCAGAAACGTCTGCTTTCTACAAGCATGATCTGGGCACAACGTTTGATGATGAGCTAATTCAATTTCAGTAATTAATTTCTCTTTTCCAGGATGAAAATCCAGACGATTGCAGCATAGAACAATTCATGTACAGTACAATTTATGACAAGGAAGTAAGAGATACCTTTCCCAACACGGAAATTGCTTTAAAAATCTACCCTAATTTAATGATCACTAATAGAGTTGAGCGAACCCGGACTGTAAAGTTCGGGTTCGTACCGAACATTACGTATTTTGGACCCCGGACCCCGGACCCTAACACGGACATGTCACTCTATGTCCAGGTTGGAGTTCGGTGTTCGGCGATTTAATGGCGCGTTTTCAAAGGCTGCAGGGCAGCCAATCAACAAGTATTTGACTCGTGTGCCCTTAGAAGCCATCACAGCCATGCCTACTAATGGCATGGCTGTGATTGGCCAGTGCAGCCTGTGACCCAGCCTCTATAAATAAGCTGGAGTCACGTAGCGCCGCAAGCACATGTGGTCTTATTAGTGTAGAGAGAGGATGCTGCCGCTGATAGGGACAGCTTAGGAAAGAATTCTGCAAACTAGTACATTGGTGGGGTGCACTTCATATCTGAGAGTCAAACAGAAACTTCAAATACCGCGGTTACATCGGAGTTTTAAAAAGTAATTTTTTTTTTGGTGCGAAATAGTACATTAGTGAGTATTACATCAGTGGGGTGTACTTCATATATGAGAGTCTAATAGAATCGTCAAATACTGCTGTCACATTGCAGTTTTAAAACTTAAATTTTTTTGGGTGCTAAAAAGTGCATTAGTGGGGTGCACTTCATATCTGAGAGTCAAATCGAAGCGTCTAATAGTGCGCTTACTGCGCAGTGGTAACCATTCTAATTGTTTTGCTGCTAAACTGCTAAATAGTACATTTTGGGGCCTGTTCTTCATATCTGAGAGTCAAATAGAAGCGTCTAATAGTGTGCTTACTGCACACTTGTAAACATTCTAATTGTTTTGCTGCTAATCTGCTAAATAGTACATTTTGGGGCATGCACTTCATATATGAGAGTCAAATAGAAGCGTCTAATACTGCGGTTACAGCGCAATTGTAAACATTCTAATTGTTTTGCTGCTAAACTGCTAAGTAGTACATTTTGGGGCCTGTTCTTCATATCTGAGGGTCAAATCGAAGCGTCTAATAGTGTGCTTACTGCACACTTGTAAACATTCTAATTGTTTTGCTGCTAATCTGCTAAATAGTACATTTTGGGGCCTGTTCTTCATATATGAGAGTCAAATCGAAGCATCTACTAGTGCGCTTACTGTGCACTTGTAAACATTCTAATTGTTTTGCTGCTAATCTGCTAAATAGTACATTTTGTGTTTTCCTCTTCTTTTGCCTTACAATTTTCTCCTCTCTACCTCCATCTATAATATGTTCCCTACTCCCGCCCCCGCCCGGAACGGATCGTCATTGCTGACGTTCGTGATAACCCTCACGTCATCTGTGACGTACAGTCCCACGTGTACGTATGGGGAGACAGGGGTGGGCTGACATCGTTTGAGTGACGGCAATGTCTGTATCAAGCCCATCCCCTAGTCTAATTCATAAGAGTTCAATACTCTGGGGATGTAACTTCAGCGTGCTGGATAGGAGGCTAAAGAGCCCCCACAACTCCTAAATGGGGGTTGAAACAGTGTCATTGTTGTGTTGATAATATTGGTAATATTAATATATAATATTATACACTTTAGGGGAGAATTCTCTTCTTAACAACTTTGAATGAATACTTGATGTGTATTTGATTATTTGTAATTATAAAAATAGTAGGAGAGTAATGAATGATAAATAAATAGTCTGGATAGTCATTGTTAATCTGCCTTTTTACATTAGCACTTGTCCAGACTATTATTATCTTTTTTAATCTACTTGAATATATGTCTTTGGCTACAAACTTGGAGTGCCAAGATATAATTTTCTTTGAGAATCCCTAGGTTCTTTAGGTCAATCTCCTTAGTAAATATAGCTTTAATAATTTCAAAAGCTGATCATAAATAAGTCCCCCTAGTCTAAAGTGGTGTAAAAAGCCCTATCCTATGCCAGCTCTACTGATATTAGTGAATAAAAAATAAATATGAAAAGAAGTGGCTGTCCCAGACCATTAAATTATGACCTAAATTTCTAATATTTACAAAAATAAATAATATAGGAGACGCGGAAGGTATTAAACTGATAAAAATAGTACTAAACACACCACTACTATCTGGTGTCACATTAGCTTGACCGCGCAGTGCCCCAAATTTGCAGTAAGAGGACCGACCAAGCCTCTTCTTCCATCTCCCTGTTACAAAAATCAATGCCGTGTACACGTCCACTGATAGGAGACGCGGAAGGTATTAAACTGATAAAAATAGTACTAAACACACCACTCCTATCTGGTGTCACATTAGCTTGACCGCGCAGTGCCCCAAATTTGCAGTAAGAGGACCGACCAAGCCTCTTCTTCCATCTCCCTGTTACAAAAATCAATGCCGTGTACACGTCCACTGATAGGAGACGCGGAAGGTATTAAACTGAACAGTCTCTATTCTGCTCTTGCATTTCTATTTCTTCATAGAAAACGAAAAAATTCTGAGAAGACGTTGGCAGGGCTATTCACTTGTGTGATCTGTCATGAATTGTCATTTGAATGTTATTTTGAACTGTGGGGCACAAGAACTTGAATCTGACAAAATGGCTGCCATATACACGTCCACTGATAGGAGACGCGGAAGGTATTAAACTGATCAGAACAATACTAAACACACCACTCCTTTTTTTTGGTGAGGCTTTACAGGACAGAGTGCTTCTCCACGGGACATGTTAACTCACGGGCAGCTGGCTCATCAAGGAACCAGAGCAGCTTTCCATGTACAGGTAAGACACGTGCAGCCGGTAAGGGTTCAGGCTCTTCTTCCTGGAGGATACGCTGCAAGCCTGTTGAACGAGGTGACCTTGCTCGGGTCCCAGGTGTACGGTTCCTAAAATGGCTGCCATATACACGTCCACTGATAGGAGACGCGGAAGGTATTAAACTGATCAGAACAATACTAAACACACCACAAATAAGGTTTCTCTCCTGTATGGCTCCTCAAATGATGCTTAAGATTAGAAGCGGCTGAAAAGCATTTCTCACACTCCGAACAAAAATATATTTTTTTAACATTCTCTCCACTTTGAACGAAATGACGTTTGGGAAGAGATTAACATAATTAAACACAGGCAGTAAAAATACAGTTTTTAGCCATACCCTGTAACTTTAAAACTACACATCCCATCTTCATAATTACATATTTGGAATCAGCACACTTAAAACATAAACATAACCAAAAATCAGCCAAATCCATCCAGGGATTAAAAAGTTAGCTGGAGGTCCCTTTATGACCGACCGCAAGCACATTTTCCTGCCCAAAACAGTTCCATAGATTTGGTCTGTGAGGTCGGTCTATTTCAAGCTGAAAAAACGACTAAGTCCCATCGCCGAATGGGACTCAGTCTCTGCAGCTGTAAAACCAGTAGGGGAGAAGGTAGAGCTCAGCGGTGTTCGCGGAAATGTGTAGCCGATTTTAGTTCCATGAATTTGGCTACACATACCGCTGACCTCGTCGAATGATCAAAGATGGCCGCCGCCACGTGTTCGGCAAACGAACAAAGACCTCCCAGCATTGTCAATTAAGCTGCGGTTAACCGCAGCTTCTGGGAGGTAAATTGCCTGCACACTTCCACTTCTGGGTGGTCTGCCTGTGTGGTACTTGGTTCAGTAAGCCCCATTTACTGAACCAAGTGGGAATTAGCCAGGCAGGCACAAAGGGTTTGCACCAGGTCTGGGGACACAGGGGACACCGTCTTAAAGGGGCAGTGTCCCCAACAAGTCTGGGGACACGGCCTTAAAGGGGCAGTGTCCCAATCTTCCTGATGTCCCAAAAAGGTGTTTAAAGGGCCAGCACCAGTCACATAAAGAGTCCATAAGCCCCAATATGCCCACCGACAGTCTTAAAGGGCCATACACAACAAATAAAAGTGCATACATTTTCACAATCTCCAAGTGACCCGGCTGTGGGGAACAGTCCCTATTCTGCTCTGTGTCAGTGTGTATCATGGTCTCTGAGGACAGGTGTCAATCCATATCTGCCAAGTGACCCTATGTAGGGGTAACAGTCTCTATTCTGCTCTGTGTCAGTGTGTATCATGGTCTCTGAGGACAGGTGTCAATCCATATCTGCCAAGTGACCCTATGTAGGAGGAACAGTCTCTATTCTGCTCTGTGTCAGTGTGTATCAAGGGCTCTGAGGACAGGTGTCAATCCATATCTGCCAAGTGACCCTATGTTGGGGTAACATTCCCTATTCTGCTCTGTGTCAGTGTGTATCAGGGGCTCTGAGGACAGGTGTCAATCCATATCTGCCAAGTGACCCTATGTAGGGGGACCAGTCCCTATTCTGCTCTGTGTCCGTGTGCATCACGGGCTCTGAGGACAGGTGTCAATCCATATGTCAAGGTGTCAATATGTCATATGTCAGGTGTCAATCCATATTCATTGTGATTTAGGAATGTTAGGTGATTTCTGCCCTTTATGGATTAAAACCAGACTCTGTATCAACTGTGTAATTTTCCATGGGAGTTTTGTCATGGATCCCCCTCCGGCATGCCACAGTCCAGGTGTTAGTCCCCTTGAAACAACTTTTCCATCCCTATTGTGGCCAGAAAGAGTCCCTGTGTGTTTTAAAATTCGCATGCCCATTGAAGTCAATGGCGGTTCGGGCGGTTCGCCGGT